GGTGCTGTAAGGTCCACGGAGGGTGCCAAAGGTCCGAGGGTGCTGTAAGGTCCACGGAGGGTGCTCAAGGTCCACGGAGGTGCTGTATGGTCCACAATGAGGTGCTGTAAGGTCCACTGAGGGTGCAAGGTCCACGAGGGTGCTGTAAGGTCCACGGAGGGTGCCTGTAAGGTCCACGGAGGGTGCTGTAAGGTCCACGGAGGGTGCTGTAAGGTCCACGGAGGGTGCTGTGTGTCCCCGGAGGTGCTGTAAGGTCCACGGAGGGTGCTGTAAGGTCCACGGAGGGTGCTGTAAGGTCCACGGAGGGTGCCAAAAGGTCCACGAGGGTGCCAAGGTCCCCAGAGGGTGCTGTAAGGTCCACGGAGGGTGCTGTAAGGTCCACGAGGGTGCTGTAATGTCCACGGAGGTGCTGCAAGGTCCACGGAGGGTGCTGTAAGGTCCCCAGAGGATGCTGTGCGTCCCCAGAGGGTGCTGGGTCCACGGAGGGTGCTGTAAGGTCCACGGAGGGTGCTGTAAGGTCCACGGAGGGTGCTATAAGGTCCACGGAGGGTGCTAAGGTCCCCCGGAGGGTGCTGCTGTCCCCAGTGCTGTAAACCCCAGAGGGTGCTGTAAGGTCCCAGAGGGTGCTGTAAGGTCCACGGAGGGTGCCTGAAGTCCCCAGAGGGTGCTGTAAGATCCACGGATGGTGCTGTAAGGTCCACGGAGGGTGCTGTAAGGTCCACGGAGGGTGCTGTAAGGTCCACGGAGGGTGCAAGGTCCACGGAGGTGCTGTAAGGTCCACGGAGGGTGCTGTAAGGTCCACAGAGGGTGCTGTAAGGTCCACGGAGGTGCTGTGTCCCCGGAGGGTGCTGTAAGGTCCACGAGGTGCTGTAAGGTCCACGGAGGTGCTGTAAGGTCCACGGAGGTGCTGTAAGTTCCACGAGGGTGCTGTAAGGTCCACGGAGGTGCTGTAAGGTCCACAGAAGGTGCTGTAAGGTCCACGGAGGGTGCTGTAAGGTCCTGTGTACTGTAGGTCCCCAGAGAGTGCTGCAAGAACCCCAGAGGGTGCTGTCCCAGAGGGTGCTGTAAGGTCCACGGATGGTGCTGTAAGGTCCACGGAGGGTGCTGTAAGGTCCTGGGTGTACCGTAAGGTCCCCAGAGTGTGCTGTAAGGTCCCCAGAGGGTGCTGTAAGTCCCCAGAGGGTGCTGTAAGGTCCACGGAGGTGCTGTAAGGTCCACGGAGGGTGCTGTAAGGTCCTGGGTGTACTGTAAGGTCCCCAGAGGGTGCCAAGGTCCAGGGTGTACTGTAAGGTCCTCAGAGAGGGCTGTAAGGTCCCCAGAGTGGTGCTAAGGTCCTGGGTGTACTGCAAGGTCCCCAGAGGGTACTGTAAGGTCCCCATAGGGTGTTGTAAGGTCCCCCAAAGAGTGCTGTAAGGTCCCCAAAGAGGCCAAGTCCCCAAAAGGTGCTGTAATGTCATGGGTGTACTGTAAGGTCCCCAGAGGGTACTGTAAGGTCCCCATAGGGTGTTGTAGGTCCCCAAAGAGTGCTAAGGTCCCAAAGAGTGCTGTAAGGTCCCCAAAGGGTGCTGTAAGGTCCACGGAGGGTGCTGTAAGGTCCATGGAGGGTACTGCTAAGGTCCCCAGAGGGTGCTGTAAGTTCCCCAGAGGGTGCTGTAAGGTCCCAAGGCACTGTAAGGCACCCAGAGGGTGCTGCACGGTCCCAGAAGGTGCTGTGGTCCTGGGTGTGCTGTAAGGTCCCCAGAGGATGCTGTAAGGTCCCCAGAGGACTTGCATGGTCCCCAGAGGGTGCTGTAAGGTCCTGGGTGTATTGTAAGGTCCAGAGAGTGCTGTAAGGTCCTGGGTGTATTGTAAGGTCCCCAGAGGGTGCTGTAAGGTCCTGGGTGGTACTGTAAGGTCCCCAGAGTGCTGTAAGGTCCCCAGAGGGTGCTGTAAGGTCCTGGGTGTATTGTAAGGTCCCCAGAGAGTGCTGTAAGGTCCCCAGAGAGTGCTGTAAGGTCCCGAGAGGGTCCTGTATGGTCCTGGGTGCAATGTAAGGTCCCCAGAGAGTGCTGTAAGGTCCCCAGAGGGTGCTGTAAGGTCCTGGTGTGCAGGTCCCCAGAGGGTGCTGTGTCCTGGGTGTACTGTAAGGTCCCCAGAGAGTGCTGTAAGGTCCCGAGAGGGTCCTGTATGGTCCCTGGGTGTACTGTAAGGTCCCCAGAGGGTGCTGTAAGGTCCCAGAGGGTGCTGTAAGGTCCCCAGAGGGTGCTGTAAGGTCCCCAGAGAGTGCTGTGGAGGTCCCCTAGAGGGTCCTGTAAGGTCCTCCTGGGTACTGTAAGGTCCCCAGAGGGTGCTGTAAGGTCCCCAGAGGGTGCTGTAAGGTCCCCAGGGGTGCTGTAAGGTGTCCCCAGAGGGTGCTGTGGTCCCCAAGGGTGCTGTGGTCCCCAGAGGGTGCTGTAAGGTCCCCAGAGGGTGCGTAAGGTCCCAGAGGGTGCTGTAAGGTCCTGGGTGTACTGTAAGGTCCTCAGATAGTGCTGCTGTAAGGTCCCAGAGGGTGCTGTAAGGTCCCCAGAGGGTGCTTTCACGGTCCCCAGATGGTCCTGTAATGTCCTGGGTGTACTGAAAGGTCCCCAGAGGGTGCTGTAAGGTCCCCAGAGGTGCTGTGGGGTCCTGGGTGCACTGCAAGGTCCCCAGAGGGTGCTGCAAGGTCCCCAGAGGGTGCTGTAAGGTCCCCAGAGGGTGCTGTAAGGTCCCCAGAGGGTGCCAAGGTCCCTGGGTGTACTGTAAGGTCCCTCAGATAGTGCTGTAAGGTCCCCAGAGGGTGCTGTAAGGTCCCCAGAGGGTGCTGTAAGGTCCCCAGATGGTCCTGTAATGTCCTGGGTGTACTGAAAGGTCCCCAGAGGTGCTGTAAGGTCCCCAGAGGGTGCTGTAAGGTCCCCAGAGGGTGCTGTAAGGTCCCCAGAGGGCTTTTAAGGTCCCCAGAGGGTCCTGTAAGGTCCTGGGTGTACTGTAAGGTCCCAGAGAGCTGCTGTAAGTCCCAGAGGCTGTAAGGTCCCCAGAGGGTGCTTTAAGGTCCCCAGAGGGTCCTGTAAGGTCTTGGGTGTACTGGAAGGTCCCCAGATTGCTGTAAGGTCCCCAGAGAGTGCTGTAAGGTCCCCAGAGGGTGCTGTAATGTCCTGGGTGTACTGAAAGGTCCCCAGAGGGTGCTTTAACGTCCCCAGAGGGTGCTGTAATGTCCTGGGTGTACTAAGCTCCCCAGAGGGTGCTGTAAGGGCCCCAGAGAGTGCTGTGTCCCACAGGGTGATTTAAGGTCCCCAGAGGGTCCTGTAAGGTCCTGGGTGTACTGGAAGGTCCCCAGAGGGTGCTGTAAGGGCCCCAGAGGGTGCTGTAAGGTCCGCAGAGGGTGCTTAAAGGTCCTGGGTGTACTGTAAGGTCCCCAGAGGGTGCTGTAAGGGCCCCAGAGGGTGCTGTAAGGTCCCCAGAGCTGCATGTAAGGTCCCCACAGATTTAAGGTCCCCAGAGGGTCCCTGTAAGGTCCTGTACTGTATGTCCCCAGAGGGTGCTGGTAAGGGCCCCAGAGGGTGCTGCAAGGTCCCCAGAGGGTGCTGTAAGGTCCCCACAGGGTGATGCTGTCCCCAGAGGGTCCTGTAAGGTCCTGGTGTACTGAAGGTCCCCAGAGGGTGCTGTAAGGGCCCCAGAGGGTGCCAAGGTCCCCAGAGGTCCTGTAGGTCCCGTGTACTGTAAGGTCCCCAGAGGGATGCAAGGTCCCCAGAGTCCCAAAGGTCCTGGGTGCCTGTAAGGTCCCCAGAGGGTTGTAAGGCCCCCAGAGGGTGCTGCTGTAAGGTCCCCAGAGCGCGTCGAAGGTCCCCAGAGCGCGGCCAGGTGTCCCCAGAGGGTGCTGTAAGGTTCACGGAGAGTGCTGTAAGGTCCACGGAGGGTGCTGGGTCCTGGGTGTACTGTAAGGTCCCCAGAGTGCTGTAAGGGCCCCAGAGGGTGCTGTAAGGTCCCCAGAGCGCGTCAGAAGGTCCCCAGAGGCTGCAGTCCCAGAGGGTGCTGTAAGGTCCCACGGAGGGTGCTGTAAGGTCAACGGAGGTGCTGTAAGGTCCTGTGTACTTTAAGGTCCCCAGAGGGTTCTGTAAGGTCCCCAGTGGGTGCTCTATGTCCCCAGAGGTGCTGCTGTCCTGGGTGTACTGTAAAGGTCCTGAGAGAAAGCTGTAAGGTCCGCAGAGGGTGCTGTAAGGTACTGGGTGTACTGTAAGGTCCCCAGAGGGTGCTATAAGGTCCATGAGAGGGTGCTGTAAGGCACTGGGTGTACTGTAAGGCTCCCAAGAGGGTGCTATAAGGTCCCCACAGAGGGTGCTAAAGGGTCCCCAGAGGGTTCTATAATGTCCTGAGAACACTGGAAGGTCCCCCAGAGGGGTGCTGTAAGGTCCCCAAAGGGTGCTAAGGTCCTGGGTACTGTAAGGTCCCAGAGGGTGCTGTAAGGTCCCCAGAGGGTGCTGTAAGGTCCCCAGAGGTGCTGTAAGGTCCCCAGAGGGTGCTGTAAGGTCCCGAGGGTGCCAAGGTCCCCAAAGAGGCTGTAAGGTCCCCAGAGGGTGCTGTAAGGTCCCCAAAGGGTGCTGTAAGGTCCCCAAAGGGTGCTGTCAGGTCCCCAAAGGGTGCTGTAAGGTCCTGGGTGTACTGTAAGGTCCCCAGAGGTTGCTGTAAGGTCCCAAAGGGTGCTGTAAGGTCCCCAGGGTGCTGTAAGGTCCCCAAAGAGTGCTGTAAGGTCCCCAAAGAGTGCTGTAAGGTCCCCAAAGAGTGCTGTGAGGTCCCCAGAGGGTGCTGTAAGGTCCCCAAAGGGTGCTGTAAGGTCCCCAAAGGGTGCTGTAAGGTCCTGGGTGTACTGTAAGGTCCCCAGAGGGTACTGTAAGGTCCCCCAAAGGGTGCTGTGGGTCCCCAAAGGGTGCTGTAAGGTCCCCAAAGGGTGCTGTAAGGTCCTGGGGCATAAGGTCCCCAGAGGGTGCAAGGTCCCCGGAGGGTGCTTAAGGTCCCAGGGCTCGTAACATCCTGGATGTACTGTAGGTCCCCAGAGGGTCCTGTAACATCCTGGATGTGTTGTCCCCAGAGGTCCTGTAACATCCTGGATGTACTGTAAGGTCCCCAGAGGGTGCTGTAAGGTCCCCGGAGGGTGCTGTAAAGTCCCGAGAGGTGCTGTGGTCCCCAAAGGGTGCTGTAAGGTCCCCAGAGGGTGCTGTAATGTCCTGGGTGTACTGCAAGGTCCCAAGAGGGTCCTGTAACATCCTGGATGTGTATGGTGCCCCAGAGGGTGCTGTAAGCTCCCAGAGGATGCTGTGGGTCCCCCAAAGGGTGCTGTAAGGTCCCCAGAGGGTGCTGTAAGGTCCCCAGAGGGTGCTGTCAGGTCCCCCAAAGAGTGCTATAAGGTCCCCAGAGGGTGCTGTAAGGTCCCCAAAGAGTGCTGTAAGGTCCCCAAAGAGTGCTGTAAGGTCCCCAAAGAGTGCTGTAAGGTCCCCAAAGGGTGCTGTCAGGTCCCCAAAGGGTGCTGTAAGGTCCTGGGTGTACTGTAATCCCCAGAGGGTGCTGTAAGGTCCCCGGAGGGTGCTGCAAGATCCCAGGGGTGCTGTAATGTCCTGGGTGACTGCAAGGTCCCAGAGGGTCCTGTAACATCCTGGATGTACTGTAAGGTCCCCAGAGGGTGCTGTAAGTTCCCAGAGGATGCTGTAAATCCCCCAAAGGGTGCTGTAAGGTCCCCAGAGGTGCTGTAAGGTCCCCGGAGGGTGCAAGGTCCAGGGGGTCCTGTAATGTCCTGGGTGTACTGGGTCCCCAGAGGTCCTGTAACATCCTGGATGTACTGTAAGGTCCCCAGAGGGTGCTGTAAGCTCCCCAGAGGATGCTGTAAGGTCCCCAAAGGTGCTGTAAGGTCCCCAGGGTGCTGTAAGGTCCCCGGAGGGGTGCTGTAAGGTCCCAGGGGTCCTGTAATGTCCTGGGTGTACTGCAAGGTCCCCAGAGGGTCCTGTAACATCCTGGATGTACTGTAAGGTCCCCAGAGGGGTGCTGTAAGCTCCCAGAGGATGCTGTAAGGTCCCCAAAGGGTGCTGTAAGGTCCCCAAAGGGTGCTGTAAGTCCCCAAAGGGTGCTAGGGTCCCCAGAGAGTCCTGTAATGTTCTGGGTGTACTGTAAGGTCCCCAGAGGTGCTGTAATGTTGCAGGGTGCTGTAAGGTCCCCAGAGGGTACTGTAATGTTGCAGGGGTGCTAAGGTCCCAGGGGCTGTAAGGTCCCCGAGGGTGCTGTAAGATCCCAGGGGTGCTGTAATGTCCTGGGTGTACTGCAAGTCCCCAGGGTCCTGTAACATCCTGGATGCTGTGAGACCCCCAGTGCTGTAACTCTCCCAGAGGATGCTATAGGTCCCCAAAGGGTGCTGTAAGGTCCCCAGGGTGTAAGGTCAGAGGAGTCTAATGTTCTGGGTGTACTGTAGGGTCCCCAGAGGGTGCTGTAATGTTGCAGGGGTGCTGTAAGGTCCCCCAGAGGATTGCTATGTTTGCAGGGGTGCTGGTCCCCAGAGGGTGCTGTAAGGTCCCCGGAGGTGCTGTAAGATCCCAAGGGGTGCTGTAATGTCCTGGGTGTGCACAAGGTCCCCAGAGGGTCCTGTAACATCCTGGATGTACTGTAAGGTCCCAGGGTGCTGTAGCTCCCAGGGATGCTGTAAGGTCCCCAGGTGCTGGGTCCCCAGGGTGCTGTAAGGTCCCGGAGGTGCCTGTAGGTCAGGGGTCCTGTAATGTCGTTGTGCTACAAGGTCCAGGGTCCTATACATCCTGGATGTACTGTAGGTCAGAGGGTGCAGCTCCCAGAGAGATGTAAGGTCCCCAGGGTGCTGTAAGGTCCCAGAGGGTCTGTAAGTCCCCAGGGAGTCCTGTAATGTTCTGGGTGTACTGTAAGGTCCCCAGAAGGTGCTGTAATGTTGCAGGGGTGCTGTAAGGTCCCCAGAGGGTACTGTAATGTTGCAGGGGTGCTGAAGGTCCCAGGGGTGCTGTAAGGTCCCCAAAGGGTGCTGTAAGGTCCCCAAGGGTGCTGTAAGGTCCCAGTGCTGTAAGGTCCCAGGGGTCCTGTAATGTCCTGGAGTGTACTGCAAGGTCCCCAGGGTCCTGTAACATCCTGGATGTATGAGGTCAGAGGGTGCTGTAGCTAGAGTCTAAGTCCAAAGGTGCTGGGTCCCCAAGGTGCTGTAGATCCGAAAGTGCGGTGTACTGTAAGGTCCCCAGAGGTGCTGTAATGTTGCAGGGGTGCTGTAAGGTTCCCAGAGGTACTGTAATGTTTGGGGTGCTGTAAGGTCCCAGGGGTGCAGGTGCAAGTAAACTGAAGGGTTTGGTTCCAGGGTCTGAAACCCTGAGGAGGCTATAAGGGCCGAGGGGGCTGTTAGGTCTTGGGTGTCTAAAACTCCCAAATTGTGAAGAAAATGTCATCAAGGCTATTAGATATTGGATGAAAAAAAAATATATATATAGACAATTTTGTAGCAAAATTTCAATACAAAACAAAAAAATATACATAAAAATTCAATATCCATTTAAACAGGAATCACATATCTGGTGAGTGATTTCAAAGCCAGTTGGCTGGTGAACATTAATGTATAATGTTGAGTACAGGAACCTTGAGGAAGCACACAACATCTTGTTTGACACAGTCAACACACAACATCTTGTTTGACACATCTTAAGCCACTGCAAAATTCCTTCTCGCTTTCTCTCGCTCTAATTTAGTTCTGACTGGATAGAATTACTATGTTTGTCATATCAAATCATCCAGCTTCCATCCTAAACCAGACACAGTGTACAAACTGATACTCATACATTTTCACCATCAACTTATATAAGGTGTCAATGGGTTACACTAAGTACCTAAATTTCCTGAAAACTTTTACAATTTGTGAAGTTCAATGCCACTGTATGTAGTTATGTCATGTGTATACCGTGCTGTACTGTGCTCAGTGTTGGGAGACATAAATACACATCATTGTTCTATGAGAAATATACTGAAGACTTGTACTTGACAATGAAGGACAAATTCATCCCTGTAATAAGATAACTCTGTTCTTGACACTTGCTCCAGTTCTTGGCGATACAACTTCAGTCTCTTGTTGAGCTCCTCTGACAACTGTGGATATAAAGCTTTATTAATGAGAGTTAAGATGAAAGTTGCAATGAGTAAACATGGGTAATAAGTTAAAGAGCATTACATCACAAACTATCTGTGACATGTCCATCATTTACACTTGAGGCGCCCAGGAGGCGACAAATTAAAAATCGAGTTTAAAGTTTTGAAGTACAAACAACCATAACTTTGTTGTTTTTAAGCTAGAGGGTTCTTTTTTTTATCGGCAGCTCAATCCTCTCCTAGTGAACTGTGAAAACTGGAAGTTAGTCCAGTGAATAGTTATTATTTTATCGCGAGTTGAATGAGAGTAACTACCCGTGATGTACAGTCGTTTGATCCTCAACAATAATCGTGTTTTTCTGCAAAATGTTCTCATTATTGTTGACTAATACTAAAGACAAGTCAATGATCACCAAAACAGCACTCGCCTTACACCCACCCCCATAAATCCCCAAATTAAATAATTATAAAAACTCATTAGCCTGTCAGTATTTATCTTTCCGCCCTATTATTAGCCAAAGATTTATAATATTGTTAGGATAATAATAAGGAACACCACTACACCCCCCAACGTAATTAACATACTAATACAAAGGCGAGAAAGTTTTCACTAGTAAAAACAGTATTATGATAATAGTATTACAATCTGTCTTTGTTTAGTTCTTCGTCTTTATTATCCCTGAAGATCTAGTATAAAGTTACGTAAATCCTGAGGAGTGCGTATAACTTTAATGCCTCACATAATCAAATTACGTTTACTTGGCAACCTTCTGTGCCCACCCGTCAACCCCACGCCTCATCCTGCCTTTTTTTTCTATAGGGCCTGGGGTACGCTCCTGACCCCTGCAATCTGCATCATGTGGTGCTCCACCACCAACACAAGGCTCCCCAACATCACCATGTAGCTCATCACCAACATTCTCACACACTTCACCTGCACCCTTGCCAGTAGCACTTGTATCACCATAATCAACACTAAATTCACCATCAAAATCACTATCACCAAGCATTACGGTGTCCACATGAGCACTGTCGCCAAACACACACTCAGGAATAATGGGCCCTGAAACCCACACCAAAGGCCTGGCCTCACTTAAGTCTTGCTCTAATATCGGCAGATATTGCACAGCACTTCTCAACCTGTGGAACACGAATAACGCCAATGTTACGCCAAAAGTTATAAAAATAGCAGTAGAAAGTACACTCTACATCCTTAAGCTATAATAGCACCAAAACTAAGGAGGAGGCAGCATCTGGGTGCGCCGAATTGGCCGAGGAGCTGTGACGAGCAAGGAAATCCATTGTGATTGGCTGCCTCAGGGGTATGGTCCGGAGGCGAAGCTGTCATTAGCTTGCACCCTCTCGCTCTGAATGGGAAGTTGCCACTTTTGACTGAGTGCACAGCCAGATACATAACTCCAGGCCTGAGGTGAAATCACACCTTATTTTGAAGGACTTTCTACCATATTTCTATTGTAGCTGGAGGGTTACATCCAATGCCAACATGTAGAGTAAGGGTGAAAATAGTGATACTGATATCCATCGAAAACACGGAGCTCCCACTTCATCCCTTATGGCAGACATGTACAGCTAAAGTTTCATATGTCTTGTGTACAGTATTCCCTAAAGCTTGCAGGGCGAGTAAATGGACCCCACGAAAGCAAACTGCAAATTTTTATGCCGTCCCAGGAGTGTGCAAAATACCTGTATTTTCCTCCCAGCTAGTTTTTAAAAAATATATCACTATACAGTACTGTACCAGTAAATGTGAGAAAAATAAAAATAATACTAATTAAAAGTTTGCAAAAAAAAAATACTGTATTGCAATTTGTTGTTGGACAAAGAAATTTTTCAATACAGGCCCCTCAAGTTCAGTGGATTTTATCTTGCAGTTCTCGGTTATTCATGATGACACCGGATGCACTCAAGAATGTCTGTGGGTAGATTTGAAGTTGCCAGCATTTTCGCAGCTGGGACAGGGAGCCATTCATTATAGAGACAGTAATTTCCTTTACCTGTATTGTAAATGTGTGTGTGTGTTGAAAAACATCCGTAACATAGCTCACAGCTTGCCTGGAGGCTAGTGTGTGGCTATAGTGATGAATCTTGTGTTATCACAAATACAAAACTAATATAATACAGTGATCCTCTTAATTAACTACCGGTTAAATTAATTACCTTCCATAAGAATATTAAATAACTAATTCCTTATGAATTTTTCCCAACATGTTTTCGCCTGCTCACCAGCTGTAGTAATAGTCCGCCAATACAGTAATCGGTTTTAGGGCTTAAATTCGTTACCATTTGAGTAAATATCCAGAAGGTTGTACTATACAATAATTTTCCAAGTCTTATATTAAATTTTTAGTCATTATAACAATTATTTAACATAACTGAAGTACTGTACAGGAACTAGTTTAGAGTGCCAAACAGCCACTTGACTCACCCAGAATGGCGTCAGTTTGTGTCCCTGCTCAGTGGAGGAAGCATCTTCCTGGAGACTCTCTTGAACATAAACTATTTTACGTTTTTACAGTACAATTTTTGGTCATTCTGAAGTTTATTTTACATATTGACAATATATAATGCAGTGCAGTGTTTATTTAAAGAAAATAATCTTGAATTACACCACGTGAACTAAAATTATATGAAATGGCGACATGGTGACTTTTCCCACCCCAATGCCTTCTTCTCCATTCCCCACTTCTAATTCCTTCATCATCATCATCAACCAGGAGCTTACATGCACACCTCAAAGTAAGTGTACTTTACTGCATTTATTTAGTTTGTATGTAATTTTGGTGAGCTGGAACCAATTACCCAAAATCCCATTGAACAATGGTTTCAAGTTAACGAACGACCTTCTGAACGAATTTAGCTCTAACCGAGGACCACTCATCAAAAAATAAGTAAAAATTAAAAAATAGGAATATTATCACTGATGTAAAATAATGGCCACATGGCAGGTCAAAGGCTGAAGCAAACTCTCAACTCCCTGTACCTCTTTCCCAGCATTCATAAAACGGCTGAAGCAAACTCTCAACTCCCTGTACCTCCTTTCCCAGCATTCATAAACCAAGGCTGAAGCAAACTCAACCCCCTGTACCTCCTTTCCCAGCATTCATAAACCATGCTTCCTTGCTTATTTTATTTGACACCCTGCACTTCAAACAATTGTATACAATTTGATAAAATGCCACCAGTGATGTTAACACACACAAATGTGAAAAAGAAAGTTATATGTAAACCTTCATTTGAGGCGCCCCTGCATCAGAGTGGGCTATTCCTTACAAAATTTAAACGGATAAACCGAGTTTAAAGTTTTTCCAACTTCAAACACGCATAACTTTGCTGTGTTTAGAGATACAGCATTCATTTTGGATGCATTTTGACGCTAAAGGACTACTTGCAGATGTTAGGGAGCACATCATGAAGTAATGTACAGTACTGGGTTATTGCAATGTTGACTTGAAGCAACAAAACTTCCACCCAGTATTGGCTGTTTTGACTTTAATCTATATCAGAGTGTAGATTCACACAAAGGAGAACTGAGGAGAGGGAGAGAGGATTCCTCATTGGCTGAGGGCCGTGACGTAGATAGCAGATGCTCACTGTCATTGGCCGAGACGGGGAGGAGGCTGTATCACTGCTGCTGTGATTGGCTGCCCGCTCCTCTCACTCACTCAGTGACGGATGAGAGCACCTGACGACGAAAAAGCAGCCCATAATTTCCTGTCTGTCACAAATCGATGTTCTACCCTATTTTCAAAGGGCTTTCAACCTAATTTACAGTGTAGTAAGGAGATCTTATCAACTACCATAGTATAGAGCTAGGCCGAAAATAATGCTTTCCAAAAAACGGGTTTTGCACGGATGGTCCGAATGCCGCCTGCGCACTCAGGTTTACTTTTACTTTGCAATCCACGAGTTTCTAGAGGGATGCAAGTCTTAAACTGCAAGCTTGTAATACTTTACTACCCTGCCTAAGGTAAAACCTTATTTTTCATGCCACCAGCATCATCACTCTATGGCAATTTTCCATGCATGTGCGGGTTAACAGCGTTACCTGGTGGCAACTCCATGCTGCATGGTTTATTGCAGTCTTTCTTGTCAGGTCTTAACCTTAATGTCATTTTTTACAACCTCAGTCATTCTTAGCCTACACTGGCTCTCCTTCCCTTCATTAAACTCTTGACCTATTTTCCATCCATGATCTCCACCATCTCACTTGGCCAATACTCCCACAGCCAGTTCCCTCTTAGCTCTGAACAGGGACTCCTGTCTTTCAGTGTCCTAGTATACAATCAACTTATCACCATTCTCATTTCAGTTCTCAAACTTGTGCATGTCATCCACTTTAACTGCCCATGTTTCAGTACCATACATTCTTCCCTACACTAAGAGGGAAGGTCCTCTTACCATCAATAAAGGCAGCAGCTCCTAACCTTCCTCAACACTGATTGTGTCACCCAGGTAACACAGTCCGATGATATCCCCAATATCAGTTTCTCCAGCCTTGCTATGGACACATTTACTTGCATGTACTGTTTAGTTCACTTAAAGTCAGTGACAGCCTAAATTCTGTCCTTTACACCACTAAGATTCGGTATAAATTAAATTTTGAAACTGAATGGAAAGACCTACAAGATCTACTCAAAGTATCACCTGCCTAGTGAACCCTTCAAGTGAGTCCAGCTATACATGGCTCAACAGGCTATTTCTCTGTTTGAAGTTCAATGATCTGCAGGCAAGGAGGCCCATTATTCCATGACATGACTTATTATTTCAACTCCCTACCTCATTTATCAGCTTAAAACTGCATTAAGGACACAGTAAAGTGATAAATGACACATTGCCTCAGTCACATATGCTGGAGAACATTTTGCTTAAGTCACATGTCAAACTATCTAACTCACAGTCTTATTACTGCATCTTTGGTCTCATTCTTATATGTCTAGGTTCAAATAATCATAATTAAATACATTTCAGTTTGTGCTGAAATAAGTTATCCTTTATGAAAAACTACTAAAATGAGTTGACAATTATGCTAGAAGGCTGACGAGATGTTAAATGAGTTAAAACCAACCTACCAGGAGAAAAACTACACAATTTAATTTCAATCAAGAAAAAAAGTGTCTTACCCCAGAAAAAATGTGAGTTGTGTTGAAATTCTCCCAGTTCAGGAGTAACTTGTCAAGGGTGGAGTGTATGGCAGCCAGACTGTAGTGCCAGTGAAGAGCGCATTTCGCCTCCACCTATCAATCAGTAATACATTATTTTAATATTAAGAAAGAAACTTTGGAGTATGAACCATAAACACTGAATTACAACCATTTACTGATGCTGATCACAGAAAACTGAAGGTCTCAGTCTAGGTAACTGTTAAGGGTTATCATATCAGGGAGTTTACTACTGAGCTGTCAATAAAGAGGAAGTTTGGCTTTTTTACTACTGAGCTGTTAATAAGAGGAAGTTTGCTGGCTTTTGCTACTGAACTGTCAATAAAGAGGAAGTTTGGCTGGCTTTGCTACTGAACTGTCAATAAAGAGGAAAGTTTGGCTGGCTTTACTACTGAGCTGTCGATAAAGAGGGAAGTTTGGCTCTTTTACTACTGAGCTGTCGATAAAGAGGGAAGTTTGCTCTTTTACTACTGAGCTGTCTATAAAGAGGAAGTTTGGCTGGCTTTTACTACTGAGCTGTCGATAAAGAGGAAGTTTGGCTGGCTTTACTACTAAACTGTCTATAAAGAGGAAGTTTGGCTGGCTTACTACTGAGCTGTCTATAAAGAGGAAGTTTGCTCTTTTTACTACTGAGCTTCTATAAAGAGGAAGTTTGTTGGCTTTTACTAGGTATCAATAAGCAGGATGACCAAACTTCTGACAACCAGCCACAGAGCATAAGAGAAAATGGAAACATTAAAAGCAGGGGCCTTAATTATGACTGACAATTATATGTCATTACTGTACATCATTTATACTGAACATACTAAGTTAAGTGGAAGTTAACACGT